CCCCCACCCCCAATCCCCAACTTTATAGCCAGTCGATTAGACGCCTAAACAGTGGGAATAGTGTGTGCCTTCTTTCATGCATTCTAATATTTTATTTGTCTGTCTCTTTGTTGTTTTCTAGGTTGTCCTCGAAGCATCAAAGCCATTTATGACCGCAACAGAACAAACCGCAGTTGATGACATAGTTTTCTTTGAAAAAGAAGGTGAGTTCTGAACCTCATTGGTTCTTTTACGTCCCTCAGATGCAGGGTGAGGTAGTGTGGAGAGACGGCACCATCATTTGACGTGGGCATCCGAGTAATGTGCATGGAGATCGAATGCTCTGTAGATGTTGTTTGAAAGACAACCTTTTCTAAGTTATTTTTAGAGCCTGAGTGTTGGCCCTGTCATGGAATTGAACTCACGACCTCGATTTCCCACACGAAAGAACGATCCTCAACCAGCTGAGCGACCGGGTCAAACGTTGCGGTTAACTATTACTCCTTTACGTAAATGATATTAGATTGTAAGAGTATAGGGCTGTAAGCAACGTAAGCCGAACGCTCTATCTATTAGCTTACTGTGTATGGGTCAGAGTGTCTGTACTTGTAAATGTTACCAATGCTTTATTCTCCAATTGAAACAATTAAACCTTTAGACAAAAAAAAATCCTGTCGTGAAGAAAAAGTAAGACTGGCACGTCTTTATAGAAATGCTTTTCCTTTTGGACCCGGAAGTCGCTTTTCCCAATAAATTGACGTCGCACTTATTAAAACGCTATATTAATATTTGCTTAACTTTGACTTACAGCTCCAAGATGCACACCACTCACAGCTCCTATCAACGGTACGATAAACTGCACTTCTAGCAACTATGTCAACAGCATTTGTAAATTTGAGTGTCAGGGTTCAAATCTCGTGGTTGGACCTTTGGAAAGAAAATGTCTCCCTACAGGAGTTTGGTCTGAATACCAACCAYCTTGCGAGTGTAAGTACGATTAAGATTATACTAAAATATACCTATGATATATATACTTATGGAAGCAGGATTGGCTTAGAGCGCTCGACTCTCACCCATTTGACCCGGGTTCGCGGATTCCTGGACTCGCACGGTGTCATGTGAAGAGAGTTTCCAAAGTTGGTTCTCTGCTGTGCTTGAAAAGTATACTTATTTTCCTGGGTACGTTTTTCCTCCCTCCGCAAAATTCAAATTCCAATTCGATCAAGGAACGAGGGCCTAAGGTTTGTTGGCCACTGACTATTAAGTGATACCCGGCCCGCAAAACAAGAACTACTCTTTTTGGTAAAGATTTCTTCTTTGTTATTAGAAACATCAAAGTCTTTAGAATTTCAATACCAAAATCCATCTACCGTGTGTTTTATGCTTTCAGTTCCCCAGATTCGTCTGACCAGTCCACAGGGGAACCTTAGCTCTAAGGCCGGTGTTGTAGAGTTACTCTTTAATGGTACCTGGGCCCCTGTATGTACACACCTGACCAATGAGGGTCGGCGCCAGTACACCAACATAGCATCTTTGACGTGCCGAAGCCTAGGATATAGCAACATTGGGATCAACATTCCTTCAGTACCAATGGATCGACTTGTTGACTCCTGGACAAATTTGGCTGTTGGTAGAGAATGTACTCAGGAGGATAAGTCGTTGTCACAGTGTAGAGGGCTTCAGATCAAAAGATATGCTTGTTCGAGTGACTACTTATTCTTTATTACATGTTTTAGTCCGCAGTGTAAGTTGCTAGAGGAGTTGATATATTTCATGAAAAGTAATAAGTAAGATATGCATTAAATTAGTTACAAAATAGTTTTGTGCCAGTGGCCTTCCATGGAATGTCCCATTAGTGTGCTTTTATTTAATGATTTTGAATCTTAGAGCCTGGACACTTGCAAATCGAGCAATCTGATTGGATAGATCGCATCGCGGACTGGTCTAGATTCTCCGGTATTAACCGGTCCGATCGCATATTAATCTTACGGCGAAAATATTTTGTCTTTTTCAATGAAAAGTGGTCATATATAATAAAACTCTTATCAACCGAGCTTGGTCAGTCTGTACGGGATAATCTTGAACTCGGTATGGAAATTCGAGAACAATGTCCGAACTTTTGGTGACCGTAACACAATCTAAAACAATTCATACCCCGTGACGGCTAGCGCCGAAAAGGTGAGTTGAGTTTGTATACTTATTGGAAGTCACTTTTCTATATTGGACTGTTATCGAACAGACCGTGCGTTATTTGGCTGCAAAGTTTGTATTATTTCTGATGACATGTGACTATGTTCGATATGAGTATAGTCCAAAGAATAGTCATTTCGGATTGTCTTTTACCATGCGATGATCTCCTCATCGTTTGTCGCTTTAATGAATACAATAGTGTGACCGGCTGAATATACGATTTGCACTAACAGGTCACGTGTCCCTACCTCCCCCTTAAAACGAGCAGTTGTGTGAAAACGAACTGGCAAAGCCTACCATCCAGAAAAATCCTTATAAAATATTTGATTTTATATTTAACGCCATTTCTCCGCGATCCTTTCTCGCTTGTCACGAGCTAAAACTCCGCTAGCCTTCTAATATCGAGGTCCCCTTTTCATTTCTGATGTTTATTTTGACATAACTGCTCGTTTTTCTGGAGGTAGGTCACGTGTYCTTTTGGTGCAAGTAGTCTAGTTCGTGAAAGATTTCACCAGTATCTTATCCCAGAATCCCTAACTATTTCATTGGTTATATAGTGACAAATATCAATTTTTAATCGAAAAAAGTTTCTATTGGTCAATTGGATGCCTAACATTTCAATGGGTTTTCTCGAATAACTACTGATTTTTGTGTAACAGGTCCAAGGAACTGTCAGTGTAGTTTTGGAGCCATCAGTGAATATACAGTAGGCTGTGCATCACCAGCTAGTGTGGATACTCTTAAATTGCTACCACATTATACCATCAATTTGTGAGTGTATGGCAGCTGTTCCAGAGTTGTGCATGTAGAAATGCGTTGCATTATGAAGCTGTTTTAAAGGACCTTCATCAATCACTTAGCATTTTATGCACCAAGAACCGAAATAAATTTGAAAATTAACACGATAATTCAAGTTTTCTATCACGTTTTTTTCTCTTTTTACTTTATATCAGCAAGAAAAAATACGCAATATAAATGATAAAGCGTCCCCTAAAACAGCTCCATCCATGATGCAAAGCGTTCTGCACTGACTCCCAAATCAGGTGATTTTTCTTGCCTCAGCCAGAAGTAATTAGCCAATCAGGGAACATAATGTTCGTAGCTCGTTATTACCTAGATTCCGTGCTTGCGGCTCGATTAACAATGGCTTCTACTCGAAAATCAAAGGAAAAAACTCATCCTTAGAAAGTTTAACCAAATATATTTTAGAAATAGCATATTTCGTCGTTTTGGTGAAAAATGTTACGTTTTTACGAGATAACTGAAAAAGTACTTTGAAATTTCCGCTGTGACAAACAACGCATTGCGCGCCTAGATTCCAAATTACCTTGGAAACAGCTAAAACGTCATTCTATGGACAGCGTTTTTGCGCATGTGTAAAATTTTTCCATTTCATTTCCTTGAGCATTCGCGCGTTTCACGAGCCATTTATCATTCTCTTGAGGATTATTACTTTGTTTACTAGTATTTTTTCTCTTGGCATACTGAGCGGTGTCCTCCTCATTTTATAACTGAAACTAATCTTACAGAAGCCACTAGAATATTAAATTTTGGAAATTTCAATTAGGAAAAGGAAAAGAAAGGGGCAGGNAAAAAAAAAAAAAAAAAAAAGAAACAAATGTGCCAATTAAGGAGGCTCTTAACCGCAATAGAGGTTTTGCACCATCACGTGACGACAGCCATGTTAGATGGCAGGAACAATACAGGTTTCACGTACATAAGAATGGATTCAATTCCCAAGCGCAAAGGGATTTTATTGTTCTGCCATCCAACCACAGGCAGTCCAAGCTGGATTAGGGCGCCGGCAAATGATGGTGTGCAAAACCGCAATTCATAATAGTATTATCTAACAGGGTGACGTTTGGTATCAACATGACAGACTTGAAAGAGGATTCACTTAAACACCTGCGACTGCTAAAAATATTGTAAGTACCTGTTCGTTTATACCCTTTTGCCGTTTCTCTGGTCGTTGGAAAGTGACGGAGAACTCATCCGGTTGAGAGTAAATTTTAGACTGAAAGGTAATTCCCGAAGAACCGGACGATCACATCCAGTCCTCATTATAAGAGCCTGGGTTCAAACCTTTCACTTTATTTAATCCTCTCCCTTATCTGATGTCAGTCACCACCAACAGCAGTCTTTCTGAAGACTACTCTCTCCCGGACCATCAAACTCAACACTCATCATATGATCCTTGGTTCAAAGCTTTTACTGTATTCATTCCGGTCTCTATTACCTGATGTCAGTCAGCACCACCAGTAGTCTTCACTCATCTTGCCGTTGTCTCGGTCTGTATTTTTACCAAAACAGTGACGTTTGTATAAGGTTTTTTAAATTTTTGATTCTAATGTCACAGGATGCTTAGAAAARCAGATATCAAGAAAGTTAATTCGAACATTTTCAAGCAGCAAAAAGGACTAAAAAAGCTGTAAGTTTTTTTAAATCTCTCAATTTTATCGAACCTTGAAACAACCTCTAGTCCCCTGCAAGGCAGGGCATATCGTGGGCTGATATATAGTTTCTTATATTTTTGTGCGTTAACTATATCGCTTTGAAATGAAGTTTTGATTTGAACGAATAATGTTTCCTTTAAGAGGTAGTTGTAGCAGTCCCACTAAATACCTCGATAACATTACTTGGACGTGGCTAATATAATTTAAGTTTATTTTCACTCTGTTTCAGTGATTTAAGAGAAAATAAGATCACCAGTTTGAATGATTTGAATCTTGAAGCTTTGATGCATGCAAAAATGGGAGACATACTGTACGTAAGGACATGATGATCTTTCATGTTTAACCCATGCCACATCGTAGATCCCCAGTAGTTCCTCGTGGTCCCGTGCAGTGCGCATGGTTATTTATATATAATAATTTTTTTATATATATTTATATAACATTCTCGTATGATGTTATACTGTTTTACCATTGCAATCTAAAACGCTATCGTACTCTTCTATTCTGTCCTATATTTCCCTTCATCTACATTCTCACTGGCACTTGCCTATCCTTTTGCTGGCTGTCCCTTGTATGGTRCTTTCCTTGATATCTCCGATGTTTTCCAATTTAAAAAGGGGTTTTGGCCCCAAGAACTCCCCTATGAATTTGCATTTACATACGGCATCAGTTTTCATCATTAATTACAGCTAGCTGCCGGTTTGACAGACCAGTCATTTGCTTTTCAAACATGATGTACAGTTAAGTGACATCAATATTCGTTTTCACAATAAGAGGAGAAACAGATAAAGCTGACCGAGCGCGCGCTCTTTCCGTTGGTTGTTTTGATCAATACAAATGAGAAATCTTTATCGTTTTTGGTATTGCAAAAAACAAGTACGCCTCGTGGATCCACACTATTTTGACAATGTGATGACGCAATTTATCGTCAATAATTAAGAAGACAGACACATAAAAACTGATTTCAATTTGTTAATTTTATCGTAGAAAACTAGACAAGCCGTCGTTCTCATCTTATATTAGGCGGCATTACGAGAGCGTGCTCCTGTAGGTACCATCCTAAATTAATAAGCCAGTAATTATTATAGAAAACAACGGACTAAAAAATGACATCGAATGGTGTGATCCAGAATATCCTCACTCATGCTGGAGTTGTATAGACAGTAAGATATGGGTGAGGGGAATCCAAGGGTAACGGATAGTTAACAATCCGAATAGTGTACGACCAAAGATCGAATGAGCTTTTGACTTGTAGACCATAAGGGCGAGAGGTCTAATTGTTTTCTCATATTCCTAACAATCGGTCAAATAAATTGAAACGACAATTTTGAAATAAGGTTGACAAAACGTTTTTTGGGGGCTACTCCAACACCTGCAGCTAGTAGCTAAGCCAATCAGTGGTGTGGTGTGGTGTGGTGTGGTGTGGTGTGGTGTGGTGTGGTGTGGTGTGGTGTGGTGTGGTGTGGTGTGGTGTGTGATTTTTAAATAAATTCAATCAGATACAATATTTATCCCAATATTTTCAGTTCATTCCTAATTTATAACTTTTCGCTTTTACATGCAGTAACTTGGATCTACAGAATAACCGCATAACTAATATTACCAAAGAGGCGACAAAAGGAATAGAGTTTGTGTACGTCTTGTAAGTGTCACCAACCATAACATTATTCCTTCATATATTACTGCTTACATCTTAAAAAATAAAAGGGTTTCACGTACATACGTCACCCACAGTCTAACTGAAGTTGTTACAGGGATATTTTTTTTATCAGTGATCAGTGCGACGGAAACACGACAGTACAGGTTACTCCCGGACTAGACCATCCGTCTCCAATTATCTTGTGTTAGGGTTATTTTGTTTTATTTTATTAATTGATTTTTTTTTTTTTTTTTACATTTATTTAATTATTTTGTTTTGATTTTGTTAAACGCCACCATAATGACCTATAGAGAATAGGTCGTTCTTCCGTTTCCATCTTTTCTCGTGATAAGAAGAGATAACTAGCTAAAAACTAGTGTGAGCTGCGTCGGTGTTTCTAATGAAACAGCAATGATAAAAGGGCAAATTTTACACCGTGAAAAGATGAAAAACATGAAAAAACTTACTGACGTTTCGGACGCTAGTCCTTCGTCGGAGTAAAAGAGCAGTCTTTTAGAGTTTTTTCATCTTTTCACGGTGTAAAATTTACCCTTTTATCATTACTATTTCTTTCTTTTCTTTTCTTTTCTTTTTTTTTTTTTTCGTGTATTAGAAATCTTGAAAATAATCGCATTTCGTACGTCGAAGATGACTCGTTTGGTAACTTTTTCAAGATAGCACTTATGTAAGTGTAATGGAGGATATATTTCAGTTCTATCGGATTTAAGTTTCGGACTCATTAAATCGCATTTTCAAATGGCCGTTTGTGCTGTAGCATAGCCATAGGCATACCCTTTGCAAATAGCTTTTCATGTCTCAGGTCAGGTGATCTCGTTTTGACAGCCCATCAAAAACTAGCCAATCATCGCGCAGGAAGAAATGTGATCAGGCGGTCCATGAAAAAAAACATGGCGCTCGAAGTCAGAAAAGATTACTCTAAATCTTTGCTTCCCTAGCTACGTTATGGACTAGCAATACATTTAAAATCCTACCTTTTCTTATAACGAATACCTATGGGTCAAATGGTGCGTTGTGGCTTCAATTCTTTTATGAAATTATTGTGAAATGATAGCTTTTTGTTCGTCGATAAACAACTGAAACTAGGACCGCCTGATCATCTACAACAATCCTTCGCGCGTTCCCCGAGATCACCTGACACAGATAGCAAATCATAAAGTGTAAGTAATAACTAAGATAAACTGTAGTGCATTAAGGGTCGAAAGCTCTCATCAGCAAGCATGGGCTGGTCTAAAGGAATTCGACGGCGAACGCCCCTCTATTTTTATAAGAGCTCCGTATCGACAATAACATTTCAAAAATATTTTATATTACAGAAATCTCGCTCAGAACAGGATATCATATCTTCCCGAAAACTTTGCAACGAAGGATGTTATGTCTTTGTAAGTCAAAAACGTTCAAATAAAGCCAAAAAAAATATCTAAATATTGTTTTTAAATACTAGCCAGTACTATTTTGAAGAAAGAAATCTTACTATGAGAATGCAAGAAAAACTTCAACGTTTTTGTTTTTGTAACTCGAAAATCGTTGTTTGTCCACGTGATGTCACAAGCAAAAGCTATGTTAACCTTTTATGTATTTCACTGACCTCGTAGCCTCTATGTAATCGCCACCATRTCATCATTCCTGAGTTCTATTTCAACAGAGATCTGCGTTATAACCAAATCAAGCATATTTCTCTTGGTTCGTTTAATGGTGCAGCCCCATACGTTTTTATGGAACTGTAAGAGCGTACTATAATTTAATAAATAAGCCATTAGGATAGTCTACAAAAGGGTCATGACCCCATACGAGGCAGAACTAATTTATTATATAGACATTAGTGTTTTACTTGGAAATACGCCACTATTATCTTTCATACGAACTACATCCGGGACCTCGGTGAATAATTAGCAATTATTCGCCGAAGGCGAAGGAAATATCGGTGGATATTTACCGAGACGCGAGTCTTCGAGAGGYGAGCTAAATATTCTCCATATTCACTTCGCCTTCGGCGAATAATTGCTAATTAGCATACCAACTTGTGTACAGAGTAACTTATTTTTATTTTTAACTTTATTTTCAGCTAACCTTTTCTTTTGTCTTTTGATTGTTTGTTTTTGTTTCCTTGCCTACCTTGCTCTCATTGGTTTCTTTTGTCTTATTCTATCATATATACACTCCTTTCTACCACTTCTTTCTCTTTTACTCCGACGAAGGACTAGCGTCCGAAACGTCAGTAAGTTTTTTCATCTTTTCACGGTGTATAATTTACCTTTTCATCATTACTGTTTCATTAGAAACACCGACGCAGCTCACACTAGTTTTTAGCTAGTTATATCTTTTTATCAACTTATTTTTATATACAATAATTCAATAAAAACAAACAAACAGAAACTTTTAGTTYGCGTGACAAATTCACGCATAACTTTTAGCAAAACTTTTAGGCCATACTTTGTTGCCTTTTTAGTATTGATAGGAATGATATTAATTTCTTTTTTTCAATTTCCTCATCGGAAATTGTAGCAAAACGATTGCCGGCAGATGCCATCTTGTTGCCGACTCAATATTCCGAGATTCAGAGGTGAATATCGTACAATATTCACCTCCAATTAACCAATGAGCGCGCGCGTTCTTAGGAAATACACAAGTTGGCATATGCTAATTTTCCATATCCTCAATGGTGAAGATATCGTTGACGTCTTTCCCAATGTTTTTCAGTTTTTGCTCGTAAATGTGTCTATATGATAAAAAGAAAATTACACTTTGGCTTGAAGATATGAAGTATCTTGTCGTATAAAAAATATTTAGCTCTTTAGTTCAAATTTGCTGCACTCACTCGWGGAATATTTTTACCACTCGAAGATAAACTTCATATCTTCGCGCCTCCATGTAATATCCTCTATGTATAATGACAAGGCGTATCTAGAGGGAGGTCTAGGGTGTCCTTGACCCCCTTTCCAGCTTGGAGCTAGTTACTATAGCAAAAGGTGCGTGTTTTACATGTTGTGCTAAATTTCGTCATGCTCATTTATATTCTTATCTTAAAGATTTCTAGGCCAAAATCTGATAGGGAATATCTCTTCAATGTTCTATGGCTTATCTGATCTCATGTTGCTGTAAGTAACTTGAAGCTCAATTATATTATGTATAAGGCATAACACAGAAGTAAACCCTGTCATGGCAATGTATATTTTTATCTTCTTTGAAAATATTTTTTCGAGTGGGGTACCAGCTTAAAACTTAATAAATCTATCAACAAAACTTAGCCTGATCAATGTAGGGATTTTCATTAGGTTAATTTTTGGGACAGCGCGATTCATAGTTGGTAGGGAGTGCGTGTAGTCTAGTTTAATTTATTAAAATTCGTCACACTGAGTACATTTACAATTAGGCACACGCACACGCCCACGGCAAAGGAATAGAATAATTTGTTTCTACATGGCGTAACACTAACACTGCCCCAATGGACTAATTCGACGATACGGCGGCCATCTTGGATTGCAATGCATTATGGGGTGTCCAGGGGGCATTCTGCATTCTGCAATGCATTATGGGGTGTCCAGGGGGCAAATAAAGCTTTGTTACAAAAATGAAATCGATTGATATGAACAGCTCACCACGAGATAATACAACAAAAGATGATTTAAGACAACACRTCGATCACCTTTACCTATCGAAGTATCGTCGAAGCAGTCCATTGACATTCAACTTCCTAAAGTGTACTAAACATGTCTGCTTCCATCTGATTAGTGATCTAGGAGGCAACAGGATAAACAGGATCGACAAACACGTTTTTAAGTATTTGAGACGATTACAATCACTGTAAGAATCATAACTGAAAACCTTAGTCATGACACAACATTCAACACAGGACCTTGGTTATTTTACCACTCACTATCGTTAATTATCCAATATTCAGCCATTGCTCATTGCCTATTTACGATTTGCTTTTTGCAATTGGTCATTGACCACTGACTATTGGGTAACGACCCTTAACTACTTGGCTATTGACAACTGATTTATCATTATTTGGCACGCCATTGGCCATTGATCATTGACCATATGTTATCAACCTTGACTATTGGCTATAGAGTGTAGGTGCATGTTACGTCATTGCCGCCATCTCGGTTGACGATAACAAAGCWTTCCTCATTAGCTTCTCTTGTTAGATCAACCAAGATGGCTGCTGTTTCATTGTTATTCATATCTCAAGGGATTTTGAGTCACCTGGTTGCACACACTCTATTGTCAAACATTTATTATTTGGCAGCATTGGCCATCGATCATCGACCATTGAGTTTTCAATGTTCAGATTACCTATTTAACTGATAACTGACCTAGAATAGCATTATCATTATAATTATCTTTCACCTATCTGTGACTAGATCTGCTTCAAGAACAAACCTTTATGAAATTGAAGATATGGCGTTTCAACATCAGCGCTATTTATATAATTTGTATGTGCGAAATTTCTATTTTAAAGAATCAAACTGTTTAACACCCACTACTTATATCACACTAACCAACCTTGTTTATTTACTATTTCTGTACCACGTCCTTACTACTTTAGCCGCCATTTTTTAACAGGTTGGATTAAAACTAGAGTAAAGGCATTTAACTCGTGAAATACAAAATGTCAGTCAACGTGTAATAGGAAAGGAATTAAGGCCTACCAATTCGATTAGTCTGATATCTACTTCACGGGTCTAAAGTGAATTTAATTGGCCAGGGAAAGAATAGTCAACGTATCACATAGCAGTAGACTACGAAAGCCGAGAAGGGACTTCAGACTTCAGAGAGAAAAATTTCAGAAATAATAATTTCAGAGATAATAATTTCAGAGATAATAATTACAGTTACATTTTGCCCTATATTTTTAGGTTTTTAGATGGGAATAAATTGACAAAAATAACCAGGCTTACGTTCTTTGGCATCAACCTATGGCATTTGTGAGTACGAGAAATTATTAAGCGACCAGAACAACCACATTTTTAATATTCCAATTAACATATAATGTTTTGTTTGTACTTGTAGAAGTATCTCAAATAATCCTTTGGAAGTCATTGAAAGTGGTGCATTGATTGACAATACGAATTTAATTGTAGTGTATGTTTTTGTCTTTATTCTTTTCTTTTAAATCAATTTTAGAAAACTCATTAATAATTCATGAAGAAAACACAATAGAAATCATGACCACGAAGGAGGTTTTATATCTGATATAGATTTGTCTTCATTTGCATAAACTTTAACTTGGATTTTCTCTATCAAACTTGGTTTATTTCCTAAAGAATTCGGTACAATACGAAAACATACATCATGAGTTTTTTAAGCCGTTTAATAAACTCGCAGATCGTGTTTTATCGGGTCTAAAACCACTCGGCTACGCCTCGTGTTTTATACCCGATAAAATACTCCTGCTCGTTTATTAAACAGTACTTCTTGTATGCATTATCATTGGGGTGCACGTGGCTTCGTATAGCTTCCATCTTGGTTGAGTTTATTACAGTCAAAATGGCCCAACCCCACCCCCCTAGGTTCCATCAATGGTTTCGTATTCGAATATTGAAATTCTTATTCTATCCCAGAATTCGAATAATGAAATCATAAATGGAACCTAGGGGTAAGCTTGAGCAAGGTCAAAACCTTTGTCAAGCAACCAATAGAGGTTTTGCACCACCACGTGACGGCAGCCATGTTAGATGGCAGGAACAATACAATCGTTTTACATAAGAAAGAATTCAATTCCTAAAAGCAGAGGGATTTTATTGTTCTGCCATCTAACCACAGGGAGCCCAAGCAGTATTATGGGATGGGCACGTGATAGTGAAATAACCTCTATATAGTCAACCAAAATAGCGCTTATGACGTCACAAGGACTCCAAGTATTAGGTTAACTGATGATTCAATGTTGATTGTTTTTTTCATGGTTACATTAGTTACCTAATTGGAACAAATCTCCACACCCTTGATATTGGAACGACCTTCCCTACGAATCAAATGACAATTTCTTTGTAAGTTGTGAAAATTTTGGAGGTTAATGAATGATCTGGTAGAGGTGGTATCAGGAAGAAATAAGAGTAATGAAGAATATAATTACATGCTACGATTAGTCGGACCGATTCTCCGGTCTGCCAATATCGCGCGCATGCCAGAACTTCAACAATCGGCCCGTCACGAAAAAGTCTGTTGCATAGCAACAGATTTTGTGAATCGGGCCAATTCAATCCGATAGAAATCGGATTGAATCTGGTAATAAACTACACGTACGACTTGCACTCCCGATAGATACTGGCAGACCGGCGAATCGGGCCGACAAATCGTAGCATCTAAATCCGCCTTAAAAGAAAAATTAGCTAATAGTTTTAAAGGCCCATATACACGGTAGGCGATTTTTTCTCGCCAAACGACCGCGCACCTCATACTAGCGACTCGTATTGCTCTGTATAAATTGGCCAAACAACTTGCTTTCGACTTCGAACTAGCAGCTAAAACTTTGAAGCAAACGATTTCTCACCATGAGTAAATGTTCTTCTGTTCAAAGTGCACCAAGCGAAACGTTTGTGGACATGCTAATATATCCACCTGCGTCGGACTTTCTTCGGAGCACGGGATACCTCTGTAAACAGCCCAATAACTGGTATGCCCTCTGCAGACCCTGTCCTCAAGGGGAATACAAACTTACTTTCCTCAACGAGTATGGCTGTAAGAAATGCCCTGCAGGTACGTATTCTGCACAAGTAATTAAGGGTGGTGTAGGTGTGGTGTACTTCCTCTCACTTCTGTTGTCTCGGCTCATATTTCTAGACTTGGGATCGCATGTGAAAAAAAGACTTTATTGGTTATGTAGATTTTCCTACAGATAATACATTTATCATGTCAAGTTCATTCAAGGTCACGCTGTGTGTTTATTTCCATAATTATATACAAAAACAATTATTTAAGGAAACCTTAACTTATTTTGATATATTTTATGAAAAATTCTCGAAATCTGAATTTAGAATTTTGCGTTTTTCACGCGACATCATGGCGTTCATAATTCTTGTCCAAGTTTATGTCATTTTTTTCCAGTATACAAAATGTATAATAAAGCAATTATTGAATTCGGTTATCGTTCGGCTTCGGCAGATAACACAACCTCAGTCTTGATAATTTACGATATCGTGCTCAACCTCATCCAATAATTGCTTATGATTTGTACCTTTTATGGGTAAAAGGTGATCGCGCCCACCTGGACTTGAACCACCTTATAGGAGTCATTTTCAAAGTTTACGGCGAGTATCCCAACCCTTCTGCGAGTGAGCCCCTCCCAGGCTTAGATGATGAGTTAAAGTCAGAATAAGAGTGCGCGCACTATTTATGTTTTCGGTGTGTGGGACTCTTTTGGGGGGATTTTATCGATTTCGTGTCAGGATTTTGAGGGCTAGAATGATTTATGAATTTCTACTAAATTCGATAAATTGTCGGTTTTTTATTAATTAGGTGGCTTTTATCAAGACGATATTGCGCACGTTGGTGAGATCGTTCATGGCCTTGGGTGCAAACAATGCCCTTTGGGAACGTTTGTTAGTATCGCAAATGCTCCAGGAAGAGTTGAATCTTCCTGTTTAGCATGTCCCAGAGGTAAGAGCAACGACCGGTTCTAGTTTTTACTGAAGAATGGCTTTGTCAATTTCTGAGGCTCGAGATTATCATTTTTTACACACATTTTTGTTTAAACAAAGGTACAAACCTCAAACGATTAGCTGGGTTCAGAGCGTGTCCCTGTTTAGACAACTTTTATCGTTTGGATCGCTTCGGTGCTTGTAAAGAATGCCCCATTGGTTATCAATGCACCAATGAGACGATTAACCTACATCCGGGGTTTTATTGGATATGGAGCCAAGACACCGAGAAAGACAACTATCTGACATTTGCTGAAAAACTACAAACAGAAAACAAAGACCATGATTTAGATTGGAGAGCATTCAATGGAACTCTGCCGACTGCTTATGTCTGTCCTTTTCCAAGTTCATGCAAGGTGAGTGAAAAGAAAATTCGTCTTTAATCTTGTTCTAATCCTATAAGGTCCGAGTGTGGCATGCACTCTTGGAATGTCCACTGGACATCCACATGATTGATCGCGTTTCAGAATTCTGAGGTGACCAACAGCATCTCGCTGTGTAATTGCTATAGTGTTTTCTTTCAGTTTAGTAAATATTTATAGCTCATGAACTGGTATTTATCTTGAATTAATAGGGAGGATTTGTTGTAAACTGTTCCAATGGCTACGAGGGAATTCTTTGCGCTCTCTGCTCCAAAGGTTTCTATAAAACGTACTCTGGTTGTAGCAAGTGTCCATCTCTCTTAGTAATCGTGTTTCAGTTCACTGCCGTCTTCACAGTTCTGGCAATTATCACCTTTGTGATTGTCAAAGACAAAAAAGCCAGAAGTGAACGCTCTGCGACGGATACAATCTTCAGCAGTCTTAMGATAATGATCGGGTTTTACCAAGTTACAAGTGGTACACTACGAGCTTACTCATACATCCAATGGCCTACAGSATTAACAAAGCTGATGAAGTTTGCAGATGTAGTGCAGCTGAACATCTTCAAACTTGTTCCAATAGAATGTCTGAGTCACTCCATCAAGATCACACCGTACGTTGGTCTTGTGACCTATGTTTCTCTAGACGTATTGGTCATATTGCTTGCCGTGGGATACCTGCATGCGACGAAATTCTTCTTAAAAATGAAGAACTTCAACCAGGAAGAAAGGAATAAAAAGCTTTTTGCCTGTAAAGCGAACTGTTACCGTGCAGTGTTTCTTTWTCTGTTTGTTACCTATCCAGCAACATGTGAGAAGGTGTTCCAAGTTCTTCCATTTGGATGCACTAAGGTCTGTGACAACCAACAAACATGTAACTGGTACCTACGATCAGATTACTCTGTCCAGTGCTACACATCAGTCTACAACAGGTACGCTCTTTTGGCTTTCTTTGCTCTGCTCATCCCCGTCTTGTTTCCAGTGGTCACTGTTATCATGCTGTGGAAGTACTGTAGGAACAAAGAGGGCGTTGAAGTTGGACAGAAAAAAACTAAAATAAACCTCGCAGGCAGCAAGAAAACGAAGTGGGGTTCAATCAAGAAGTATTTCAAGAAGAATCGAAACGAGATTTCGTTAGGTATGAGGTTTATCTACGAAAACTACAGTGACCACTGCTGGTATTGGGAAGTCATTGAGTTGGTCCGAAAGGTTCTTTTGACGTCGGTGTTGATTTATTCTGGTCAAAGTGGTCGCTTCTTTCTTGGAGTAGCAGCATCATTGTCTGGTATCTATGCCGTCATATTTGCCAATTCTAAACCGGTTCCATACCTGTTTGAACACTGGCTTCATCTCGGGTCTTTRCTTGCCACAATGGCTAACCAATCGATGGCATTGTTGCTAAAGATCCCAGAAGAAAGTCTGTCATCGYTGGTTAACGTGGAAGATGACACCGTCGGTGTGTCTTTGATGCTGGTGTTTGCAAATGTTTTTGTTCTTGTCATGATTGCAGGTAAGGTATCATTAAATTAAAATGAATAGAGGTGTAGCAAGAATTTTCTATTCTGGCTGAGGGAAAGAGCAAAAACCAATATTATGAGTCATGATATGTTGACCTCTTATTCTTTTCTTGCAGTTCGTTATTTCTATGGAATATTCCTTTCACTTAAAGAATTCAGGAAAAACCCCAAATGCAGTGTTGGTTGTATCATGACGCTACTGCAAGTCGTAACCATTGGCGATGGGCAAGAACGTCCAGTGTCTACCAAAAGAGACAACTGCCGTCGATCAGAGAAAATTGATCGTCGTCTAACGGAGAAAACTGCGAGAATAGCTTGCAAAAAAACCCAGGAATAACTAAGCAGTTTCAAATCGTCAAAATATAAGAAGTTGTATTTACAAACGAGAAGCATCAAGATAACGTATATTAAAGCAAATTTGGCTGTCGACTCGAAAGTTTTTACTATTTCGACAGCCACGCACACTCAAACATGATTGTTTTTATTTGATTGGTTTATTTTAATTCAATTGTATATTTGTATCTCTGTTCTGTATATTTCAATATTGTAAATAAGTGTGTGAATAAATAAGAGTCTAAAAGTCTAAAGTCAATTCGCCATGTTCTAAACGAGCCGGGATCTGGGTTTGAGTTACGAACGCAAAGCATCTATGGATTGCTTGAAGGGACAGAGTCGCCATGTTTACAAACTTTAAGCAGTTGGAATGTTGAGATGTCTCACTATAGTTCCTGTGTTCCTGGCTGTACAAATAGTTTCAGAAGCGCTTCTCATTTACACTACTACAGGATACCGAAAGATGAGGCTGTTAGAAAATCCTATAAAGTTATTTTGAAGAATGATAGCCTGAAATGGAACTCAACAAGTACACGGATCTGCTCAGAACATTTTGAAGGTGGCATGGTGAGAAACTAAGCCGCACTCATTTGCCATCGATATTCCCCTGGACAAAGCCAGAAACCAAAAGAAGAGAACTTAAAAGAGTCAGCTTCSATAAAATTAAAGAAATCGAAAACGAGAAAACAGGAAAAAATCATCTTTATAAGTTTTTCGTTTCCACCTAGTTTCTGGGACTTGAGTACGCATGCAATCACTTTTTTTCGCATGTTTTAATTTTTCAAYTTAGTAAAACACAAGCAAACATCGGATTTATTAATGTATAAATCTTCTTGAAATTGCTATTTTCCAATCTTGTATTTCTTAAAGTGCTAGTCTTGCAAAAATATATTAATGACGCAAATAAAATCCCCGATTTTGTATATGCTCAAATAGGTTATAATGTTCGCCAATAAACAATAATTGGTTCAAAAAAGAAACTTTTCCCGTCTGAATTCTACTTCCGAAAATTGTTAAAAGCTCGTCCGCCATTTCTATGAGCAGCATGTTTTSTCGTTGCATTTTAATTTATGTGTGACGTCATATGCGCAACTGGCATCCTTYTTATCCACACTGCCTCTACAGCATTCTCTGTAAGAAGGCATGACTTGGTTTAAGGCTTGTTTTTAAATCAAAAATAGTCGAAATTTGGTTGCAATTACRCATTGTGAAAAGCCGCGAATTTTGAAGGGTGGCGCGTATGACGTTACTTCCTTCGAATCACTAAAAGTTGCCAGKAGCGCAATCGCTTAATGGCGGACTCAAACGGCCAAACTTTACCGGCTAAATGCAACATCTTCCCAGTCTCGTATCGAAAAAKAAYTTGGACAGTAAGCTATATTACATATCTAATTTTATATGGTACAATTTCCATGGASGGTGTCATTTTCGTAAGACTAGCACTTTAAAAGAGATATGTCAGGTATTTAGCCCATGAATCCTTTCAGTTAGCAAACAGCAACAATTATAGCTGCATCAGATCAGTAAATCAACTACAAACTGCAAACCTATTTTTAGTAGTTTATTGATATGCATCACATCATTAACAGCTCGAGCTTAAGAATTCTTATGAGCAATCTTTATAAACTTCTCATTATGTTGAATTTAGGCATAGCCATGTTTAGTTATTTGACCCTATGTTGCCAAAAATAACCATGTCGCCTGGAATGTAAACCTCGGTGAGACGGAAGGCATTYCTGTTGGGGAAGACAACTTGGGTAATGGCAAACACCGATATGCTCCGAAAGTTGAATTTTTTAAAACCTTGAACTGCTTGTTTTACTCTAGAAGTGATCTTATCTCTAGAATATTCGTAATCCCAGTCGGTGAAAAAAGCCTCGTACCAAGGTGTCCCTTCGTTGCTTGCTGAGCCAGACCCTTCCTCTGTGTATGTTATCGTCAGGTCACTGTCAATGCTCGGCGTGAAATACTTATTGTATTTAACAGAAAATGTYGCTGTATCCCATTCAACCCAATCGTGTAAACCTCGAAAATCTGACTCGAGATACGGAATACTAACGTCGAAGTTAGTGTTTACCCAATTCACTTGAATCTTTTGACCCTTGTTGACAGGCTTAGCTTGGAAGGAGTTTCCAGGAATTCTGAAGTTTAAAGTGGCCGATTCATGACTTCTGTCAAAGTCTATTAATATGTCGGGTATTTCATAATATGAACCACTTTTGCCTACTAAATAAACCGACTTCTGAGATTCACTTGTGGAYTTTCCAGAAACAACTTTTGTAGATAAATCAAAATTGAAATAGTTTTCAATGTCTTTCTTGATAATATCGTTGAAGATGATTCTGTTACTGATGAACAAAGCAGCTTCAAAACCTGTKGGGATAATTTGCTGGTCGATTGATAACGGATCGTTAAAGTCCCGTTGGGTCTGTTCGTGGGCAGTCGAACCGGTTGAGCTTGTTCTAAAGAAGATGAATAGTGTCCCGAGGCTAGGGTTTTCTGGTCTCCCAAAACCTCCTGTCGCCAGGTAGAAGTTTGTAGGCACAAGACTTGCTGGTGTTAGCTGATTTTCATAGGTAATTTYTGCTACTTCGAAATTTGCCGATTTCAACTTGTTGTTGAAAAATTTGTTGATCTGGTTTACCATTGCAACGTTAGTATCTTCGTTCTCTATATCCAATCCAATAAAACCAAAAACTTCTTTACTTAAATCTAAGACAACTCTAGAATCTTCAGAAGTCCCTGTTAGGGATCCGCTTATTTTCAAGAGATCCAYTGTGCCAGAGACTACAGTGTCATCACTTACTGTTAGGGTGTTGTTAAAATGATAAACCGTTTTAGCTCTTTTGTTTGTCTCCCAGCCTTCGAGAAGCGCATTTTTGATTTTGATTTTCAGTGTTGCTCTATTTTGATTGTTGGGAATAAATTGKATCTTTGGTGCACCAACGTCCATTATCAGCTTGTTTTCWAGYTTAAATCCTGGTGCATCAACAGARACGCACCTKTTTGTCACAATGCGTTTGACAAAAYMAGCSTTGGTTTGATCATCATACTGTTTTTGCCAAAGCTCATTTACACGTTTGGCATTCACTGCCATTATGGCGTCCCATTCACGAACCAATGAGCGGCCATCCATTTTGTYAATAAGATTCTCTTTACTGCCTAAAACATCATCCGAGAGCTTTCCGYCGAAAGATCGATCATTCGAGCTTAATGGAGGAGGATGAAATATGACTCTGAGGTAAAGCCTGATCCTAAGAGTAGTAAGAGCTGTGCTGAAGCGAATTCCTTTACTGGTAGTAACCTTTGGTATACGAAACACCCAGTTATCAAATGGAGTGATTCTTATRAATTTGTTTGMAAATTCTTCCGATGGATTTCCAATGGTTTCTCCACTTTTGATATTATACACAGTGCGATATTCCGTTGGAAAAGTGGAATAGCTTTTTGGATTGCGATCGAGATCTCTGTCTTGAAACCATTCTCCAGACGCCGTGGCTTGAAYGTAGGCGGTGTTATCTGCTGACTTTAKAATATTGTCTGCRCGCACTTCCATTCTTAKKATACGAACACGYACGTACTCATGGAAYGGAAGAGAACTGAGTGGAATGGAAAYYTTGTATCCGTCCTTGGAYAACAAATCTTTSACACATACACCGGTGATATTGTATTCAATGGGYTTCTTGAGGTCYTTAGGAAGRGATGGAAAGTTTTCTAACGCAGAAATAGAAGACTGTATCTGGTTTACTGCTGCCTGATGGATGGCCATGGTGTCGAACCGTTCTATCAAAGTGGCATCTTGAAGGTAGTGGTATTGTAACGCAGCGTCCATAACTACAAACGTTTGGACCAGTTGTGAACGAACCTGGTTCTCTTTCATTTTGATGATATTACCAAGCTCGAAGAGATCGGTAATTTTTGCATCGTTATCGGAGAGGTCTTTTTGAGTTAGTTTKCTCTTGAGTTCTCGAAGGCGACCGGTCTGTCTCTTGGCCAAATCCCTTTCCATTTCGATTTGGATTTGTTTGTACTTGATGTTGGCAATGTTTGCAGCGATGCGGATATATTTTCTTCCTCTTGCAGATAAGCGTTTTGAAGCAAGTTGATAGTCAAGAGCCTCTCCAGCTACCGCTTCAGGRAGAAAGCTCTCCGTACTCAAGTAAGAGCCAACTCGACTGTCAAAATCATYCCATTCCATTTCGGTGGGGAATGTATCTACATCGATCTGCATATTTGGCATGTTTTCCAGAGCTCTGTTTATGGTGCCAATGTCATTCCTCATGTTAATACCAAGATCATACAAYTTGTTCACTTGTTCAATAATCGTCATAACATTCTTCACCTTTTCTACAACTCTGACAATACCCTGTAATTCATCGCCAACATTTGTGAACCCAACCCCTCCAGCGAATAAGGATCCCACAACCTGAACAACGGTTAAAGCTGTTGATACAAATTGCTCYGTTTGATACTTGTCTAATGCGCTTGTGAGTTTTTCAGCAGCATCATTAATTTCACCGTGTATTTTAATGATCTCATCCATTAAAGCGTTTGCTYGTCCTTGTTCTCGGTCTATGCGGTCTCTTTCCAAATCGTGTAATTTTTGTTGAGTGTCAGCTATGTCATCTTGATATTTTGCATTAACTTCAGTTTGTTCAATCAAGAATGAACCTATGCTTTTCACGTTTTTGTTCAGCTCATTTAGGGATTTTGTCACAGTCTCCGTTTGCTTGCGCCGATTTATTTCTCTGSYKACTTCTCCAAATTTCGTTTCGTAWTTGGAAACCGTAGTTAAAAGGTTTTCGTACAGCTCTTTGTACTCTGGGAAGCTCAGTTTGGGAACAATAAGCCTTGATTTGGAGTATTCTGTTAACTGTGTCTTGCTTATCAGCAACGCACGGCCGAGTATCATTTCAAGATCAGCTGAMAAATGGGTCGAATTATCGGCACTTTTCACGAGCGTATCTGTAATCCAGTTTAGAGTTTCGCTTGCTGTGTTGAGGGACTTTTCACTGGTGCGTACGGTTAGAATGGTTTGAACACTTGCCACAGCCAACTCAAAGCCGTTTACTAAACTTCCACGGAGCCAGTTTCCTTCGTGTGATTGTTTTGTAGTGTCGTACAATTCAGGC